CACGAGTCTAGCCAGAAGGATCAGCTTTTTTGCACCAGAGAAAAGTCTAGGTCCCACTGAAGGAAGAAGAGCAAGGCATAAAATCGTGAAGTGTAGTGTGGTCGTGTGCTGCTTCCATCTACCTGACTCTTTCACTTCTTTCTCCACGATAATCACATGAGTCTAGAGAACCAAGTCATCATGTTATTGTGAAGCTGATGTCATGAAGCCCTCTTCATGGTGTACTGTTTTCTACTCAGGATTTGATAGTCACTTAAATCTGTAAATTCCTCATTTTGCACAAGCTATTTTGTTGAGTTTTCTCTTTTTTGCAACTAAGGGAATTCTAGACAGGTCTACTTGTGGCTCTCGGAATGCCTAAAGAGATGAGACTAATGAAGTCTCTAGCAGGTTCTTTTCCCATTTTCAGAGACTGACAGATCGATAGTGCCATATATGCCTTTTCTTTCCACACTTGTCTTATTACCGTATATCTGCCAGGCTTCTCATGTTTGGAGTCTGGGTGTATATTCTTGATGAACAAACCTTGACAAGCTTCCCCCACCCCACCCTGAGCTCAGCCTTGCAGAGTAATAGTCTTGAGTGTGAGGCCCTAAAAGGTTGTTTTATCAGTGACCTATAGACAGTTATTGGGACACTGTTTTCCTATTGCCCTCTGAAGCCCTAGGACTTTGGAGGAGGTGCTGCAGGGCTGCCCTCGACACCCACCCACAGGACGTAGCAGGAAGGGAGAACAGAACCCTCAGCATCCGCATTTGAGCGAGACTTACAGAAACTTGCTATATGCCCCCCGAGGTGGTGGCAAAGCCTATGGTTGTGTCAGACTGGTCTCCCTGAGACACCAAAGCTGCCCTCCTGATGGGTTTCACCATCCAGGCAAGCTCTGCTATAGCCCCAAGGTTGGTGGTCTCTGCGCTGCATTAATCCCAGAAAGCTGATCAGTACTGAAGAGGTTTGATGTTCCATAGCTCCCTAGTCCCTCCCTGGACTGAGTTCACACTCCACCCCCCATAAAGAGGGCACACCTTGTTGCTTCGGCTCTTGTGAGCAGATACTGAATGTGGGTAATCACAGCTCACTGTCTATACTCTGCAGAGACCTTCCATCCCAGAGGTGCCATAGATGGGTTTAAAAAGTTTATCCTACTCATTAATAATATATTACTACTCGCCTACTAGCAAAGGCCTTATGTTAAGGTTACATACAATTGATTCTCCCCTGCTAGTGAACCCCATGGGTGGCACAGCCCTTTGCCCCTGCCCAAATTTTCCCTATAGTGGTACATCTTTGGGCTTTAACTACCCTCTTCCCCTATTCATATCTGAGTTCATTTATAAATAAGCTCTTTATTTCAATTTCCCCATTCCACCAAGTGGAGACATTACTGCTATAAACATTTACCCAGTTAAAGCACTGGACAGAGCTGGGTGAGTGGGGAAGTCTGTTTAAGAGAGCCACGAAGCCTGGAGTAGAAATAATGGAAATGAACTCATAGCCATGGGGTGATTGAAGGTCCTCACAGAGATGTTTCTAAAGCATGTAAAACAGCACCTGGAACAGCACAAACACTCGACGAATGCCACTATTGTCATTATTTTTTCCCAACAACTACCAGCAGAGCATATCTGCAAGGGCATCCAGTCTAGCAGATGCCCCTCTGGCTGTCTGCAGGAAGCTATGGGCCCTGTTTCACCCAGAGCTGCTCCATTTTTATCCCTCTTTTACATTGGGCAGCTCAATGATATCATGCCTGAAGAGAGGGTTCTGTAGCTAAAGAAAAGTTTGGAAGCCACTGCTCGGGAAAATCGATGGAGAACACAGTTTCCTTTTATTTCTGACTTAGAACCCACAGCCAACCCTGACCATTTCTCGTGGGTTCAAGTAAAGTTGGGGGTAGCCACTTTTCATCAAGACAAAAAGACAGGAAACCTGTGGCCTCCACTCATTTTTTCAAAAGCCCTTCTACCAAAGCAGAACTGGAAGAACCCAAAATTTATCATTTACAACGCATCCCTCATCTTGCTGTAAACTCAGTGATGTTTTAATTCTGAAGCTGGACTTTAAATAATCTTTTTTAAAACAAATGTAAAAATTCATCTTTTCATATTTCACCTAGAGAAATGAATAATCTGAGTCACAAAAAATTTTTTAAACTAAATGAACAACTACTATAGTCAAGCAAGGAAAAACAAAACAAAACAAAACAAAACAAAAAACACTTGCTCTGGACCAAGCAGCAGTGTGGGGTTCATAAACAGTTGGCTTCTCATTAACAATCCTGCCCAGCTGAAAGTTGGCCTCAAAAGCACTGGGAATATAAACTTTGATAGAACAGAACTTTGCTCAAACAGCCTTCTTAGAGTTTGTACAACCATTCATTATTCTGCTAAAGTGACAAAAGTTTCAACAGGAACTGTGTGGGGATCAAAATGGTCTATGATCACCAGAGGGCTGTGTGCCCAATCCCGACTCCCCTTGTGCTGTGCTTGTCTATGTGTGATATAAACGTCAAGTCCTACAGATTTACCCTCCTCTTTAAAATCTTACTTTTTTGACCAAGCTCCCATGAAGCTTCTTTCATGACTGCAGGAAGTCCAGTTCTCTCTCAACATGTTCCAGAGGACACCAAAGGATGCTTGTGTGTTAAATCAACACGGAACCTCCCAGGGCTGCTTGTTCCCTATGGGCACCTCTGGTGGCCCCTGAGCCTCCTTTCTCCACAGCTGCAACCTTCTTGGATAGTACAAACCATGGGCACTGGTTCCTCTGTTTGTTCCCCAAGCAAAGCTAACAACAAACCTTAAAAATTAAAAAAAAAAAAATGGTGATTATAAGACAAAAACTTAAAATTGGTAACTGGAGAGCAGCTTATCTCTACACCTGGTGTCTCAAAGGGCTCCCCTCTGGCCCGTTCTCCTGCAGCATCTGGCCTTTTGCCCCAGTGGTGGGGACTCTTCTCCTTTTTTTGGTGGACATCCCTGACTGACGTGTTCTCCACTCCCTATCTCCCACTCCTGGCAGGCAAAATCAGACCGCTTTATGGCCGTAATAATCTTTGCAGAACTGTTTCCTGAAGTCAGTCTTTCTATCATTAAGCAAATATCTGGATTGCATGTGACACTGCTGGCTCCTGTGCCACTCATACTGGGCCTCCCTACCATTAAGGAACATGGCATGTTCAAGTCATCTGACTCTCCATGTAACATGCCACTGCCCCACTCACCAGCCTCCCCAAAAGTGAAAAATAAGCACACAAACAAAAGACCAGCATTTAACTAATCTCAGAAACATTTGCATTTGGATTACTTTCCTTTAGGATTTTCTCCTCCTCCCCATCAACAGTGGGCATGTGCCTTACATCTGCAAGACTAAAAATGTTAACCCAAGTGGGTTTCTATCCTAGCATGCAGGAGCTGCTACAGATTTGTTTTTTTAAAAAAAAGCACTTTAAGAAACCTTCCCCTCTTCGTCTTCAAAGTGTGGGTTGTGCATTCAGAGCTCACGGCTTTATGGACAGTCTGGAAGTAGGAAGAACTGCTGTCCAGCAGGTGGTCTTTGCCCCATGCACAATTGTGCCTTGTGTCCTATCAGCAGACTCAGAACTTCTCATGGTCAGCCCTGACCACTAGGCTCAGGCAAAGGTGGGGTCTCGGCACTTGTAGACACTCAAAAATGTTAGTTGGATGAATGAGAGAGAACATAAGCTCTAATTGCTCTGGAGAGCCTCTACCCTACTGGGTTCAAACCAGAAAGAAGCCAGAGAAGTGTCTTTTCCAGACATAAGCAAGAAACGGAGGAGTCCTTTGTCTAGAAGTTACTAAACATTCCTCGGTGTCAGGATGTTACTTGTTAAGCATCATCCAGCTTGTTGGATTAAAGATTAATATGGCCCATGATTTCGAAGTCATCTTAAGATGAACAGATTCACTAAAACATGACTGAGTAGTTGAAAGCTAAAAGGAATATACTTTATAAAATATAAATTCCTGGCACTCAGGTTTTGCTGCAAAAGAAATCTCAATCTAGACCATATAATGAATAAAGAGAGTGAAGGAAGAGCTGTTAGGAACTCAACTGATGTTTTTGGTGGGGGGGAGAGATGTTCTAGGCATTTCCAGAGCCACAGGACACAAGAGAATCCTTCTCTAGCCTACTTGGGTGATTTCAACTATCAACTAACACGACAATCTCCAGTCATAACTTCAGATCTTCCAACATGTCAACATTCTTCAAAACACAAAAATCACTCCTTCCTCTCCTTCATTCACACAGTAGAGATCAATTGATTAAACTATTTTAAATATTTTTCTGAAATCAGTGAGAATAGAAACTCCATATTTTCTCATAATTAAAGGTAGAAAAGGAAGATAAATGGTCTTATCAATTAAAGTTTAAATCAAGGATTTTTAAACAATATAGAGTAAAGTTGATGTGTAATTTTTAAAAGAAAACACATTTCTTGGGAATTGTGCTCCTAGATTAAGGCACGGTTGGTCCTGAATAGCAAGTCACAGTTTTCCTTACAGTTCTCCCCTGAGCTACGCTGTGGGTAGGAAAGGGCAGGACTAGTAAGAATGGAAAGAAGTCAGAGACATTGTCGTTCAATAAAAAGAACTTCTGGAAAGAGTTCTTTGTTACTGGAAATTATCAAGCAGAGGCTTGTGGGATGTTTCTGATGGTATCGGAGCATTATAGACTAGGGTCAGCCTAAGAAATTCCTACAAAGACAGTAAAATTAGAAAAGCATGTGAAATGCCTAGCACAGTGCCTGGCGCATAATACACAATACATATTAGTTCTTTCTGACCTGAGATTCCATGGGTCTATGATCACATATATTGGATGTATTTCTGGGGAGGTAATTGAATACATTCTAGATTCTTCCCGAAGTTCACAATTTTCTTAAATGAGGCCATCGAAAGAGAAAGTCGGGGGGAAAGAAAGCATGTTCTCTTTGCTGGTGTCAGTGGCTCTTCCTCTACTTGGAGTTTTCAACACCTTCAGGCAGTCACTGGTTTGGGCTTTATGCTATCAACTACAGCTGAAATAACGGCTCCTGCAGCCTTTGCTCCTTCCCTCAGGGCGTGCTCTACCTGCAAGGCACAGCAGTTCACAGGGCAGTTAGTAACAATCCGAGGCTTACACCCTCCTCTATATCTACCCACGTCAGGAACTAGTCTGCCTGGAGGAGGAAGCAGCCTGTGCTATCCCATATTGCCAAAAATCCTAGAGCCGCAAGAGACCTAGAGCAGCCGGCATTGCTGGAGACAGCCCTCCAAGGCAGACGGACTCCCTTTCACCTGGGTGACATCCAGGGCTGCTGGTCCCTTTCCTCCATCAGAGCCATTCAGCCCAGGGTCTGCCTCCAGTGTGGGGCTCAGAGGCAAAGGATCTCAAAATGCCACAGCCACTGAGGCCCTCATTCTACAAATGGAGAATCTGAGGGTCAGGGAGGGGAATTCACTTGGACAGATCCACACAGTGAATTAGTGTCCAAGCTAAGCTCTGGGCTTGTGCCTCATGACTTCTGGGCCTGCCTTCTTCAGAGGCCTCCTACAGTGCTCTCAGTCCTTGGGGTCTTCTCTTCATGCACAAATGCTCATGGGATGGGAGATTCCTCATACCAGACACCACCGAGCCCCCGGCCCTGGAGCAAGGCCTCACGAGAATGGAGTAGGGGCTAGTAGAGGAGGCAGAAAGTAAAGGGGGAGTGAGTGGGTGGGGGCCTGTCAGAGCTCACTGAGAGATGGGATAGCAATGGTAGAGATCAACACTGGGATCGGAGCCCTGTCTGTCCAGAAAACACAAGAAACAGAAAAAAAAAATAGAAAAATTATGTTCCGTCTTTAACTCTTCATCTCATGTGGTTTTTAACAAGCACAGCATTAACTATTAACAAGTGCAAGAGCAGCTGAAACTGTTACAGATATTTAGGCTGTCAAAGCTCTTTCACACATCTCGTACCACATTTAATTTATCACCACCCTACATGGCTGGGGGGCAGGGGGCGGAGGGGGTCACAGAGCCAAATGCAATACGGGCCAGGCTGGTAATGTGAGTGAAGCTTAGGTGACACACCTACACCCACACACCCCACAGAGCCACAACCAGGCCACACAGTTTCGGCAATCAGGAACACTGGCCAGATGGCCTTGTCAATTGGTTGTTCAAGAAAACCTGGAAATCCAGATCCTTTTTATATAAATGTCTATATTTTTAAATGTTGGCCAGTAATTCAAATTTTAAAAAATAATATACATCCAAGATGTGGCCTGCAGGCTGCTAGCTTGCAACTTTGGTGATAAATTATCTACCTTTGTCTATCTCCATTTTGCAAAGAAAGAAATGGTCTCAGAAAAAAAGTGACTTGACCAAGGAGATCACCCAAGTTAATAGCCACGCTGGGATTCCAATCAGGTGGCCTTATTATTATCCCAGAGCCTTTTCCCTCCTCCGTGGGTTTACAGAGGTGGAAATACCTTCTGAACCATAAAGTCCTGTAGAAACAGACGGCCCTACTAGAACAACAAATAATATGAGAAAACCCCTGATCACCACTCTGATCACTAATGACATGAGAAACCTCAAGAAAGCTCAGCCAGAAGCCCTCATGAGAGCAAATGGGGCCACACCTGCTGGCTCCTGGCCACACCGTATCTGAGGTTGTTGACAAAGTGCTCACAGTTCCCTTTGATCAGGCTGTATTGCACTATCTTGTTGACCATATTTTTCGTACGCTGGATGATCTTGTCCACGGGCAGGGGCAGGTACGTCCCATCGAGATTGTTGTTGACCTTCCAGGAGCAGCCATGCAACACATCCTCCAGGCGACTGTATTTTACAACAGCTCGGTTGCTAAAGATGGAAGTGACGCTGCCAACCTCAAGTTCCTCACCTAGAGAGACCGGAGACAAAAGTTAGAGAGATGCAAGGGGCAGCAGTGGCGAGCTACTTCACTTGGACCATCATTTGCACCATCAACAAAAGGCACAGCAGAGGGGGGGAGTTGGAATAAATGAACCGCGAAGGACCAACTTCCCTGAGAAGCCTATTGCCCAGCAGTGTACTCCCCTCTCTCAGCACCACAGCTATCTTCTTCTTATTAAACTCTACAAGGGCCTTGTGTTGCATCCCCAGACTGTGTTGTACTGGCCTGACCAAGTTCCAGGGTTTGGGTCTTGTTTCCTAGTTAGACTTCAGTAACCCTCACTGATGTTTGATGAGCACCCTTAATGCAAGTGCCAGTTTTTGAATAAGGGACTGTTATGCACACGGTCATGGCGGTTCCACTGTAGGGACCATGAGGCTAAGCAGACAGGGCTCTGAATGGTGCCTGCTCCCACCAGCTTCCACCAAGAGCCACATGGCCCTTATCTCTACTCAAATATGGGGATTCTCGTTAAGGGTTTCTTTGAAAATAGGATTCCACAGCTTTGAAAAAGGAAACATTTGAAAACTACATTATCATATTCAATCCTTAAAGGAGACAGAGACCCAGAGAGGCCAGGAACCTGTCCAAGGCCAGGTGGGTGGTCATTTAAAGCCAGGACTGTTTTTCTGCTACAATCATATGGATATGTAAATGTGTGTGCCCTCTCACTTTGTAAGTCATCCAAATGTGAGAAACGTTCTTTTTTTTTATGCATTTGAAGACAATCTGCTTATTTCACAAAAGCTGGTGGTAGGCAATTCAGGAGTCGATGGCAGAATTCATTTGTAGAGAAAAACGTGATGGAGGAGGAGGCATAATTGTTAACCATCTCTCTGGCCATACAAGAGGGAAGCTCTTGTGCTTATTCTGGAAAGGGGAGGGGGAGGTGAATTTCTATATTCTTCAGGTGGGCTCCAGACCAAGAAGTGGAGAAGGGTGTGTGTGGTTGGGACAAAGAAGGGAAGAGATGAGAAAGGGACTCTGCTCTGTGGGGAGGTCCTAGCGGGGTGAAGACTGGGCCAAAGGAGGAGGACAGGACAAAAGGAAGAGGACAGGACACAGGGTTGAGAGCTGCGAACAAGTTGTGGCCAAAGGTCTTTGGTACAGTGCCCTTCTGTAATTTAATTGTGAATGGCAACACTTGTGCAAAATTCAAAAGGCATCAAAGAGTATGCAACAGGTCCCCCTCCCTCCCCATCTCCCAACCCTCCATCCCACCAGGTCCCAAATGCTGAGGCAACCCCTGTGACCAGTGGTTCTAAATATTCAATTTTAAGTCGTTTCTCATTCTGTCGTTATCTTCCTGTGTCATCACCACTGCTTTCCCATCAAATCTCCACTAAACTTTAACCACAAATTTAATCTCAGCCTTGCATTAACACTGTCTTGAGAATTGAAAAGAGGATTGTGTCCACATTTAGGGTGAAGCAGCCTGGAGCACGTGGGAACAGCAAGGAGACAAAGGGAGTGAAGGTGCCAAGGTGATCAGGAAGCCAGAAGCAGCGTTTGGGGACAATAAGAAACAAGTGGCAATCAGAACACATAAGCATCTGCACCCTTCCCTGGGAATCTTTGGAAATATGAAGAAGGATGCTGAACAGTTGCCAATGCAAAATGGAGGCTCAGGTTAGATTGTATTTTGAAAGAAAGAGTGCTCTAGGATCTCAGGTGGCGTGGGGGACACTCTTTACACTTGTATCACTTTTAGGGCAGGACACTAGTTAGTTACCGGTAAACAGAGATAAATCTCCATCACAAAGTAAATAAAGGTACAGAAAAGCTTCAGGTGTTTTATTACTAAAGAAGGGCAGCTGCTGAGGAGCACAGTAACTAACTGCATTTCTGTTTGCTTTGCTAACTTTGGTATCAACATTTCAATAGAGTGTCCACTCTTACTCGGAGGAGCCAGGTGGACCACACAGTCATCTTCCACGTAGATGGCCCAGTGCTCATAGCCAAGGCGAAAAATCTCAATCAGGTCTCCAGGTCTGGGTCTTGATTTGCCCTATAATAGAAAAAAAAGATAAACTGCACATGCCCGAGGCCCTGTTTGTTTGGGGATCAGCTACAGCTCATCTCAAGCCTAAATAAAGATCCCCACATCGTGGTTCATCACTTTACAGAAACCCAAGCTGGGGAAAGCTCTCTCCACACAGAGAACCAAAGGACTCCCCCTCTCCTTCTACCATTCACATTATTAAAGCTATCAGGGATGTCTGCCGGTTTTCAGTGTATTACCTCTCAGCTCCAAATGCACCCTCCAACATATGCCCTGTGATAAGTGACATCTCCTTTAAGCATTTCTCCTTTAAAGCGAGCATGACGTTACGTTTTTTCAGTAGGGGGCGCTAGAGGGGCACTGCAAGAGGAAGTGGCTCTCCTACGGTTCTGGCTTGGGGTGGGCAGGATGATGGTCAGTAGTGTGGGTGTGAGGACACCTGGTGGAGGTCTGCCCTCAGCCCCATCAAACTTGTGGCATTGGCCTGGCCCACGAGACAGGGAAACCAGTGCCCAAAGTCCTCCTGCCCCTGCTGGCACCCTGATTCTCTCTGCGGGTCCTCCATCTGGTCCACTTACAGCCGGGAGCATCCCCCATCCTCTGCACACCCACACCCCTGTTACTGATGGCCACTCCGTCCTGCTTGCCAGCCATTGTAGACCGGCTCCAGCCTGGCCAAACCAGTGAACTTCTCCATTATCCAGAGCGTTGAACCACACCTCTCCAATGAGATCTAAGCCCCTTCCAAGCTTGTCCTTCCTTGAGTACTCTCTCCCAGCTCTGGGAGACCTTACAGAGTTCACTCATATCTCATAGTTCCTGTTTTCTCATAGCTTACTAATTCTTTAAACTCCCCTATGGTGTTTAACCTACTGTGTGGTTTCTAACTCCTGATTGGACTGAGATGCTGATACACTGTCTCTCAAAGAGGGAGATTCGTCTAAGAGACTGTGTGTGTGTGTGTGTGTGTGTGTGTGTGTGTGTGTGTGTGTGTGTGCGCGCGCGCACTTCAGAGAGAGAGGTAAAAAGAGAATGAGAATATATTTGAAGGGGTAGGCATGGAGTTGTGAATATGATGAGCATCCAGTTTTTAAAAACATTTACTGAGCACTTATGCTGTGCCAGATATTATTGTCCTGGGCACTAGGAATACACCAGAAAAGAATGACATATTCTTTACATTGATGCTGTGGAGCCTTCATGCTAGTGGAAGTAGAGAGATATGATATTTCAACTGGTGTGTGCATGGGAACGTACACGTGCAGATATGTGTGCAGTTGAGTGGATGTGTTGGTGAATATGAGAATGAGGTGAACTTACACGAATATCTGTGGGTCCATGAGCATGAGAATGACTGAATGTGCTCATATTGCACACACATGTACCAAAGCCCTTAAGCTCTCCTGATAATTTATTACTTGCAAGAACCAGAACTTTCCCACTCTAGTAATGTGCTCAATAACATAAAATTTCAATCTAACTTTTGATTTCCAGATTCCTCACCCTCTCACACTCTCCCTAAGTTTGTCCAAGAGCGGTACCAGGAAGAGGCTCTGCTCATGGATGCCTCCCTGCAAAGGCGCGCTAGGAAGTCAGAGCCACATGGAGAGATATGAACCAGCCCACCCACCCACCCACCAGCTGTCCAACAGCATTGCTCCTTCTCCCAAGCATGCCACGATTTTCCCAGTGAGTTGAATTTCTTCAGAGCTGTATCTCTCTTCCCAGTTCCCAGCCCTATTTCCCTGACTGAGGACAGTCATGTGCCAGAGCAAGAATTCACAAAAGTAAAGAGGTGTTTTTTACTTGTTTCTTTTAAGGCTTTTCTGAAATATAACTTACATCCCATGAAATTCATGCTTTTTAAGTACACAATTCAATGACTTTTAGTAAATGTACAGAGTTTGTGCAACCATCACCACAATCCCATTTTAGAATGTGTCCATTATCTCCCCAAAATTCCTCATGCCCATTTGCAGTAATTCCCATTTCCCAACCCCAGTCCTAAGCAACCCTGTACCCACGGGTAGTCACTCCCCTTTTCTCCTCTACCTTCCCCTCCTGCCCCAGGAAACCACTAATCTACTTTCAGGCAACCACTAATCTAATTTTTGTCTCTGTAGAGTTGCCTTTTCTGGACATCTCACATAAATGGGATCAAAAAAATAAGTAAAAATTAAAACTAAAAAGCTGAAAATTAAGATTAAAATAAGTAAATAAATAAATGGGATCACACAACATGTGTTCTTTTCTGTCTGGCTTCTTTCACTGGGCATAATGTTTTTGAGATTAATCCGCGTTGTAGCATATGTCGGTGCTCCCTCAGATGGATACATCACGTTTTACTTAACCAATTTTGTTCTCCTTTTTCAATATTATTTTGACCATTCTTGGTCCTTTGTCTTTCCATATAAGTTTGAGGACTACCTCATCAATTTATATCAAAAAAATTAAAATAAAAGCCTACTGGTATTTCAAGAGGGATTGCATTAAATTTATAGATTAATTTGGTGATGATTGCCACCGTTATAGAGTTTTCCAACCCACAAATGTGCACTGTCTTTTTATTTATTTAAATCTTTATCCCCCTTAGGAGTATTTTATAGTCTTCCTTATTTTGTTAAATCTATTCCTAAGAATTTTTATGCTGTTATGAATGGAATTATTTTCTTGATTTCATTTTCACATGGTTCATAGCTAATACATAAAAAATACATTGATTTTTGTATGTTAATCTGTGTCCTGCAACCTTGCTGAAAATATTTGCTAATTCTAATAGTTTTGTAAGTGTGTGTTTGTAGATTCATTAGGATTTTCTACTTGTATTGAATAGATGTGATGACAGCGACATCCTTGCCTTGCTCCTTGTCTTTCACCATTAAATACATTAGTCGCAGGGCTTTCGTAGGTGCCCTTTTTCAGGTTGAGAAAGTTCCCTACAATTGACAGTTCTTCTAGCAGAATGTTGATCAAGAATGGCAGTTAGATTTTATCAAATTCATTTTCTGAGGATATTGAGATGATCATATGATTTTTGTCCTTTACTCATTAACACAGTGTATTACATTAATAGATTTGGGAGATGTTACACTAAACATGTATTCCTGGGATAAATCTCACTTATTCATTGTGTGTAATATTTTTTGTATGTTGCTAGATTCAGTCTTCTTGTATTTTTCTGAGGATTTTTTACATCTATATTCATAAGAGATATTAGTCTGTACTTTTCTTGAGATACCTTTGTCTGGCTTTGGTATCAGCATAATACTGGCCTCATAGAATGAGTTGGGAAGCAGTCCTTCCTCTGTTCTCTGTTTTCAGAAAGAGCTTGTGAAGGATTGTTAACTTTTCTAAATGCACGATAGAGTTCCCAACTGAAACCACTTGGGTCTGAGCTTTTTCTTTTTGTAGAAAGATTTCTATTTCCTAATAAAATTTAGGTCGTCTAATTTTTCTTGTGCCAGTTTTGTAATCTGTGTCTTTCTAGGAACTTGCCATTTCATTTAAGTTGTCTAATTTGTTAGCATAAAGTTTTTCCTTTTAATGTATGTCAGATTGATAGTGAGTCCCCTCTTTTATTCCTGATTTTGGCTATCTGAGTTCTCTCTCTTTTTTTCTTGGTCATTGTGGCTAACGGTTTGTCAATTTTGTTTATCTTTTCAAAGAACCAATTTTGTACTTCATTGATTTTCTCTATTGATTTCTATTTCATTGATTTCTACTCCAATAATTAATTAATATTTTCTTCCTTCTGCTTGCTTTGGTTTAGTTGGCTTTTTTCCTAGTTTTTTAAGGTGGGATCTTAGATCACTGGTTTGAGAGCTTTCTTCTTTTCTAATATAGGCACTTACAGCTATAAATTTGATATGTTCTGTTCATTTTCATTCAGCTCAAAATATTTTCTAACTTTACTGTTTCTTTTTTGATTCATTGGTTATTTAGAAGTGTGTTGCTTTATTTCCAAATTCTTGTAGATTTTTAAAACTGTCTTCGTGTTATTGGTGTTTAATTAACTTCATGTGATCAAAGGAAATATTTTGTATGATTTCAGTCCCTTTAAATTTACTGAGACTTACTTCATGGCCTAGAATATGGCCTATGTTGGAGAACATTTACGTATGCTTGAGATGAATACACATAGATGCTCCTCAAATTACAATAGGGTTATGTCCTGATAAACTCATCGTTAAGTTGAAGATATCATGAGTTGAAATTGCATTTACTTAATTGCATACACCTAACTTACCAAACATCATAGCTTAGCCTACCTACCTTAAACATGCTCAGAACATTTTCATTAGCCTACACTTGAGCAAAATCATCTAGCAACACAGTACACTGTAAAGTATAGGTTGTTTATTCTCATGATCATGTGGCTTACTGGGAGCCATAGCTCGTTGCCACTGCCCAGCATCATGAGGGAGTACTGTACCATATATGGCTAGCCCAGGAAAGATCAAAATTCAAAATTCAGAGTACGATTTCTACTGATGCATATCACTTTTGCACCATCAAAAAGTTGAAAAAAACATAAGTTAAACCATTGTTAAGTCAGGAACTATCTGTATTCTGCTGCTGTTATGTGGAATCTTCTATAAACATCAATTAGGTCAAGTTGGTTAATACTGTCATTCAAATTTCATATGCTCACTGATTTTTTTGTCTACTCACTCTATCCATTATTGAGAATAGAGTATTGAAGTTCCCCAACTATTATTTCTGAATTGCCTATTTCTCCCTTCAATTCTATCTGTTTTTCCTTCATGAATTTTAGGGTTATGTTGTTAGGTGTGTATATGTTTATACTTGTTGTATCTTCCTGTTATTCCTTCCTTTTTAAATTTTCATTTTAAACGTTCCTCTTTTTTTTTTTTTTTTTTTTTTTTTTTTTTTTTTTTTTTTTCCGGCAAAGGC